GAGGGAGTATCTTAAGGAATGACACCCTAGGTTATTCTCTGGCCTCTAAATGCACAAGCTCACATGTACATGAGCACCTGCACACACATACACCTATCACACACAATTCCCTGATAACACCCCCCCAAATATTTTTTTCTCTTTATTCTACAAGTATAAAGTTGTTAAAATGAGAGTAAAAGAAGAAAACATTAACTATTTACTGCAAAATGGAAGGTAAAAGAACAGAAACATGAAAAGAAAGAAATCAATCAGCGGATCTCAGTCCCACCTGCCTTCCAGTATGCTCTGTTGCAGGGTTGGGGCCTACTGCTAAGGAGCACAGGACACACAGTGCTCACTCATCAGAGCCCCAAATAAAAACTCTCTCTGTGAGGCCGGGCGGTGGTGGCGCACGCCTTTAATCCCAGCACTCAAGAGGCAGAGGCAGGCGGATCTCTGTGAGTTCGAGGCCAGCCTGGGCTACCAAGTGAGTTCCAGGAAAGGCGCAAAGCTACACAGAGAAACCCTGTCTCGAAAAACCAAAAAAAAAAAAAAAACAAAAAAACAAAAAACAAAAAAAAAAAATCACAAAAAAAAAAAAAAACCTCTCTCTGTGGCAGTCAACCATTTCATGAGAATTTATAGTCACTTCAAAGATCACCCTTTTTTTTTTTTTTTTGGTTTTTCAAGACAGGGTTTCTCTGTGTAGTTTTGCGCCTTTCCTGGAACTCGCTTTGGAGACCAGGCTGGCCTCGAACTCACAGAGATCCGCCTGCCTCTGCCTCCCGAGTGCTGGGATTAAAGGCATAGGCCACCACCACCCGGCCAAAGTTCACTTTTAACTTACATGAATTTTTATCTTGTCTGCTATTGTTAGAACCTAACAGCCAATTAACATGCAGCTTTTGAGCAAATGCCTGATGACTACCACTCACAGGGAAGTTCCTGCAATTCACTTCAAAAAGTCCCCTAGGAACTTTCTAATGCACCCCCATTCCTGAAAGACAGTACAATGCTGTGATTAAGAGTCATACAGATCTCCAATGGAGTCACAGTTACTGTAACTGGAGAAGTCAGTGCATCTTTTAATCCTATTAAAATAATCTGTAAAATGAGGTTGCTACTATCTACCTCTTGGTGCTTATATGATATAATATACATTAAGTGCTAACTGTTGTACCTGGTACATACTTTTATAATTACTAAAAATAATCATTAGATTGAGTCCTGGCTAAATTCACTCTCATCACTTTCTATATTGTCATTTTTTTTAAAGTTATAAAACATACAGGGCAAACAAACATTAACATATTAGGCTCTTTATTAATTATGGGCTGTTTTCCTATCTTTTATACTAACAAGGTTAATGTGGTATCCTCAGATTGGTTTGTGGCTAAATAATAATATTCCCAAAGACCTCATATTATCTTGAAAAGTATTATCCATCCCTCCCACCTCCTACAGCATTCTTCCTTTAAAATATATTTTAAATATCGGGTAAATCTTGCTAATTACCATTTAAGAGAAAGCTCTGGAAAGGTTAATGACTAATGGTCATGAAATGAAACAGTACTAAAATTTTAAATGCTGATACTATATATATAAAACACAAATGCAACTTCAAGTATTTTCCTGTTTCAGAGGTGACAGTTTTATACATATACTGTCAAAAGCCTGCACCACAGTATGAGTTTCTAGTGCCATCTCCAAGTACTACATAAAGAATACTCTATAGAGCCCTATGTTTTCAGAACTAAACTCTTAAATCCTTCAGAAAAGTTATGCTGGTCATTAACTTTATTTGTTAAGAATGCACTTAGCAAATACATTGTAATGAATCTTTTAATCCATTTCAGATCAAAATCTCAAAGCCTTTTCTTATCTTTCCTTTTGTTCAAACTATTAGAAAGATTAGATGGGTGCAGGGATGCGTGCCTATAACCCCAACACTAGGGACGTTTCTAAGGTGTGCAGACGCCAATCTCAGGCACACAGTGAACACCATCTCCAAAAAGGCTAACACCATGCGCAAAATCTTATGGGGATTGTGTATGGAAAATGTATTAAACCATGTGTCAAAAAAGAAAAAGTAAGTTGGTAATTTTGTAAGGCTACATAAGAAAGGTACCTATGCGGGCTAGTTGTATGTAAACTTGACACAAGCTAGAATTATTTGAAAGGAGGGAATTTCAATTGAGAAAATGACCCCATAAGATCCAGTTGTAGAGCATTTTCTTAATTAGTGATTGATGGGGGAGGGCTCAGCCCATTGTGGGTGGTGCTATCCCTGTACAGGTGGTCCTGGGTTCTATAAGAAAGCAGGCTGAGCAAGCCACGAGGAGCAAGACAGTAAGCAGCACCCCTCCACGGCCTCTGCATCGGCTCTTTGCCTTGAGGCTCCTGTCCTGTTTGAGTTCTTGCCCTGACTTCTTTTGATGATGAATAGTGTCTTAGTTTGGGTTTTACTGCTGTGAAGAGATACCATGACCATGGCAACCATAATAAAGAAAAACATTTAATTGGGGCTGGCTTATAATTCAGAGGCTTAGTCCGTTATCGTAATGACAAGAAGCATGGCAGCATGTAGGCAGACATGATGATGGAGGAGCTGAGAGTTCTACATCTTGATCTGCAGGCAGCAGCAAGAGAATGCCACACTGGGCCTACCTTAAGCATCAGAGACCTCAAAGCCCACTCCGAACAACCCACTTCCTCCAGCAAGGCCACACTTCCTAATAGTGCCACTTCCTATGAGCCTATGAGGCCATTTTCATTCAAACTACTATAAACAGCAATATGGAAGTGTAAGCCAAATAAACTCTTTCCTCCCCAACTTGCTTTTTTTGGTCACAGTGTTTCATCACAGCAATAGAAACCCTAACTAGGATACCACCAGACTGATAGGTGTTAAAAAAAAATTACATTTGTATAGAAATTAACAGGTTATTTGTTTATTTTAAAAACAAGACTTTATGCGGCCTGGCTGGCCTTAAAATCCTGCCTTCACTTCCTGGGTTCTGGGATTACAGGTTTACACCAATGTTCAGTTTCTGTGATACTGGGGATCACATCCAGGGCTTTGTGCATGCTAGTCAAACACTCTACCAAACTGAACCACAACACAGCTCAAAATTAATAATTTTAAAGTATCTTCTCATGCCATATGAGCCAAATATGGTGAGTTTTATTCTCATTTTACAGAAATTCAAGATCATTAAAATGACCATCTAAAGACACCAAATAAAAGTTTTCTGACTTCTAATTCCAGCCCATTCTACTTCCTCACATTGCTTCTCACCTGGGTCATTAACAATGCTGTACCCCTGGGATCTAAATACTTATGGCCAAATGAAAAGAATATTAAAATGGGGTGGAATAGATTAAACAAAAAGTCTTGGCTATCTTTTGTACTTAAGGGATTTTAGCACACAATACTTATTTTTTTGAGAATTTAATCACAGAGATTGCATGAAAGGTTATGAGAAAATGGAGACACACTTTATTTGCAAAAGTATCTGTGGGTATGTTTCTTCCCCCTGTCTTAAACACCTGTTTGAGTCCTAGTGGTGAATTATCGCCTCCTTAAGAGAAGAAGAATCCTGACTGCAGTTATGCTCTTAGAAATGATTTCAAAATCATTACTGTATTTAATAAATAGGGTTACAAAAAAAAAAGATTCTCTTAGAAATAATTTCTAAGTCATAGAAATTCAAGCTTTCTAGAAACTTCAACTACTTGGCTAAACATACATTTCTGTTCACATACAGAATCTATATGAGGCCTTTTATTTTGGCAAGAAAAAAGAAACTAACAAGCATAGTGATACCCTTTCAAAGAGGTGAACAGGGCAGGGAGGTGGGAATGAAGGCTGCACACTGCAGACCCAGGCATGGTTTAAATAAGTAACATTTTGGCCGGGCGGTGGTGGCTCACGCCTTTAATCCCAGCACTCGGGAGGCAGAGGCAGGCAGATCTCTGTGAGTTTGAGGCCAGCCTGGTCTCCAAAGTGAGTTCCAGGAAAGGTGCAAAGCTCTCAGAGAAACCCTGTCCCAAAAAAAAAGTAACATTTTTCCCAAGTCTAGTTTATTAGAAATGGAATAAAAGCATCCTAATGAGAACCAAACGTCCATGTATTCCCCTAAAGGTTAGAGTTAATAAAACATCTTTTCCTTTAAAATGTTTTCCTCTTTAAAAAAAAAGCAGTAATTTGTGACTGGGACTCAGAAATAAAGGAAATGTCCTCTTGCTGAATGTGGTAGCACACACCTTTAATCTCAGTACTGGAAGGCAAAGGCAGGTGGACCTTTATGAGTTCCAGGTCAGCCTGGTCTACATAGTGTGCTACAGGATAGCCAGGGCTACATGGAGAGACTCTGTCTCAAAAACAAACAAACAAAACTCTTAAACTCATAGGTATATACAGCCACATACTTTTTTTTTAATCAATGCACATCAATTGCATTTATTAACGGATGTCACTGTGGCATTTCTATATATGTATATATTGTTCTTTGCTCATGAATACCTTCTTTAAATATGTCTGTTAGATTTTATTTTGTGGTTAGTCCTCTATGAATACATGTATGTACATGTATGTGTATGTGTGTAGGTGCCATGAATGTGTATTGAGGTCAGAGGTAAGAGATGGTTCTCTCTGTTTACCTTTACAGGGGCTCTGGGGATTGAACTCAGGTCATTAGGCTTAGCAGCAAGCATCTTTACTCAGTGAGCTATCTCACCATTCACACCTTATTTTTATATCTGCATGGAAAAGCTACTTCCTTCCAGCTCTCTATTACTTGAAGGTCTATAATGTGTGGCATTAGAACTTAAAATAAGGTATAATAAGTTCTAGCAGTATAAACTAGTATAATTAGTTTTCACTCAATTTTCTGTATGTCACAATCTCTTGGGGTTGGGGATTTAGCTCAGTGGTAGAGTGCTTACCTAGCAAGCACAAAGCCCTGGGTTTGGTCCTCAGCTCTGAAAAAAACAATCTCTTGTAGTACTTAACTTACCTGAACTTCTGAATTCGAGTCAATAGGCTGCAGTGAAAACCAAGTTTCTTTACCACTGTGATTACACAAATCTTCTTTTTTGATGGCTACTTTTCCTACAGAAAATAAATAAGATGATGAGAAAACCTATTTTATACAATCTTGTGACTCATAAGCAGTGTTATATACTTTGTGGAAAACACTTTAGACTTGAATCTGTTGATATAAAAATCCACCATCACCCCTTTCTTTGAAATAGGATGCTGCTATGTAGCCCCAGCTGTCCTGATACTTGTTATATAGCTCAAGATAGACTTGAACTCAGGGTAATCCTCCTGCTTAAACCTTCCGAGTGCTGGAATTACAGATTTTTTTGTTGTTGTTGTTTTGTTTTGTTTTTTGAGATAGAGTTTCTCTGTATAACAGTCCTGGTGGTCCTCAAACTCCCTTTGTAGACCAGACTGGTCTTGAACTCTCAGAGATCCACCTGCTTCTGCTTCCTAAATGCTGGGATTAAAGGCGTGTGTCACTGTCGCCCGGCTGGGAGTACAGAATTTAAAAACCTGTTTCTATAAATTTTTTCTCCTCTACCCTAAAGGAGAAATGTCTTATTTCTGTTGGTCCATTGGCGGATCCTTTTGTGGGTCATTCTGAATCAGGGGATTAGAAAAACTCAGCCATAATCCCAGCACTTGGGAGGTAGAGGCAGGTGCATCTCTGTAAATCTGATGCCAGCCTGGTCTACAAAGAGAGTTCAGAACAGCCAGGACTATTTATTATATAGAGAAACCCTGTCTCAAAATACCAGGAAAAAAAAAGGAAGAAAGAAATTAAGAACTCAGCTGGACTTTAATGTAACTGTATTTTAGCACTCAGATTAATATTTTACTAGTACATTCAGGGTAAAAAAATATATAAATGGCAGTGCAATATAACTTTCCAGGTTCTATAACACTGTAAATAAAGTGAATGTGTTGGCTAATTTTGAGCAGTTATATCTGCATTTTTTTTTTTTTTTTTTTTTTGGTTTTTCGAGACAGGGTTTCTCTGTCTAGCTTTGCGCCTCTCCTGGAACTCACTCTGTAGCCCAGGCTGGCCTCGAACTCACAGAGATCCGACTGGCTCTGCCTCCCGAGTGCTGGGATTAAAGGCGTGCGCCACCACCGCCCGGCTATGTCTGCATTTAACACGAGGTTATATGTTGTAATTAAGTGAAAGGACAAATAGCATCACCTACTAATAAAAAGTATCTAAAAAATTATTAAAATTTCGCTTTATCAAAACATTATTAAACTGACTATACTACTTCAATTCATACGTTAAAAAAAAAAAAAATCAAGGCAGCTTTCCGAAGTGCTTCTACCTACCAGGAAAGAGAGTGTACAATGAACAAAGCAGTATGAAAGAAACAAATGCTCTTCAGATAAAGTATCTGCCATGTTGGGGCAAAGCATTTCCTCCCCCAATTCAAGTTTTAAGAATTAGACATAGTTTTGCACATGACTAGCAATTCAAAGACTGCACAAAACTCCAACAAAGGAGATACGCTATAGTTTAAAGGAATTCACCTTTTTCTGTTTTTAAAAAGTGACTACTTGGAGCTGGAGAGCTGACTTGGGGTTAAATAAGAGCACTGGTTACCCTTCCAAAGGACCCCCAATCCCAGCACCCAACACGGCAGCTCACAGCCACCTGCATGCAACTCCAGTTCTAGGGGATCCAACACACTCACCTCACACAGACACACACACACACAAAGCACCAATGTACCTAAAAAAAAAAAAAAAAAAAAAAAAAAAACTACTTTCCTTTGAAGTACCTGAACTGTGTATGTTATGTCCTTTGGCTTATAACATACCTTACTTTTAGTTCAACAGATGAAAACACTAAGAAAATGATAAACTTTTATAAGAAGAAACATCAACTTGGGGATATCAAGTGAAAAGGAAGATAGAAAAATAAACACAGAAAAACTTATGTTTGAGGTTTTTTTTCTGGAAGTAGATGGTGATTATACTACTGCACGATATATAAAAAAAAACTGTATGCTTTTCTCATTTTACAAATATTTTATCTTGATAATCCCAGCACTTAGGAGGCAGAGGCAGATGGATTTCTGTGAGTTAAAGGCCAGCCTGGTATACATAGTAAGTTCCAGGGCAGATACAGAGGGAGACTTTGCCTCAAGGAAAAAAAAAAAAAAGGAAAAAAAGAATGATTTTAAAATTTGGAAAAAAAGCTACCAAGAACAGTGTACACAAAACTTCCATTTTCTTCACCCAGAATTTCCAAAATCTTACTACATTAGTACATTTTTATCATGTTTTGCTCTCTTTCTGATATATGTATCAGAAAATTTTATGTGTGTGTGTGTGTGTGTGTGTGTGTGTGTGTGTGTGTGTGTGTGTATAAAATGATTTTTCCCTCTGGGCCATTAAAAAATAAATTAAATACAATACACACCTTTTAAAAGAATCATTAATTTTTATTTTGTGTGCATTTGTGTTTTGCCTGCACGTATGTCTATGTGAGGGTGTTGAATCCCCTGCAACTAGAGTTACAGTTCTGAGCTGCCATGTAGGTAGGTGCTGGTAATTGAACCCGGGTCCTCTGAAGAGTAGCCAGTGATCTTAAATGCTGATCCATCTCTCCAGCCCCCTACAATACACACTTCAAAACAAGAAATTTTATGGTATGTGACTTACACCTTAATAAAGTTGTTACTTAAGTTATTTAACATATTAGTTTTATAAGCTTGTCTATTTATAACTTAGAACTCGAATTACAGACATATATAATTTAAAGATAAAATATACAATTAGATTTTTATTAGAATGGCAACTATTGTAATACTACTACTCAAAGGAGACCTACTGAAAATTCATTAATTTACTAACACAGAAAGTTGAAAATACATAAAACTCTAAACCCATGAATCTTTTCTTTTAAATATTCAGTGAAATCTAATATAAAGATAGAATTGTACAAAGTGACACTAGGAAAATGTACTTCAGGGTTTTTTTTGTGAATTTTAAAGATGAAAAATGAAGGTAAAACTGAAATTATTCTGGTACTGAAGGTGTACACTGATATCTAAGTACAGAATATGGGCATTAACTAAAAGAAGCAAATATTCTTATACTACTAAAGGAATTTAGACGAGGGTCAAATTATATAAACTTCTTGAAATGTTTCATCTATGGATTATACAAAATTTTTAGGAAATCAATTTATCTGAAATGGCTCAGGATACAAAATAATGAAGCATTCAATTTAATATGGTATGAATGTAGGATAATCATAACTATCATAATACCAATTATCACTGATTCTGTATCAGAAGCAAATTTTAAGGGAATGAATAATAGCTTGGTACTTAAAAATACATTTATACATACATATGTATGTATATATATGCACATACACACACGTACACATACGCCCTACAGCTGAAGTTCTTATCTTTTACAGATTTTTGTAAGGGAATATCGTTGCTATCTTCTCCCCAGGAAAAAGCACAGAGAATATCTAGCATACAACTTTTAACATCTTCAATTTATACAGAATTACTTTTTTAGCTTGTCTTGTTATTAGGATCCTAGGCACACTACAAAAGCACTCTGCTACTGAGCTTCAGTCCCAGTCCTAGGATGTAATTTTTAGAGAGTTTCCTAAGCCAGATGTGGTGGGCACATGCTTATAAACTTGGCACTTACGAAGCTAAAGCAAAACAACTGTGATCTCAAGTCAGCAGGGGGAGGGGAAGGGAGACTATATATATCTATATCTATATCTATAGATATAGATATAGATATATAATGAATGAATATGAGTAAGAATGAGCATGAAAGAAAGAAACTTATTGTACAGAAAAAGAACCTCTACAGAACCTCTAGTATGGTGATAATTTATTTGGATTAAAATGTTATTTGTATGTTAATAAATAAAGTTGACCGGGGGTCAGAGCTATTAGCAAGCCATAGGAAAGCAGGGCAGTGGTGGCGTACGCTTGTAATCCCAGCACTTGGTAGGCAGAGCTGGGTAAGTCTCTGTGTGTTCAGGGATACAGCCATTATTGGATACACATGCCTTTAATCTCAATACCAATCATGGAAAACCTGGAGGCCTATACAGACAGGCCGTGAGGAGGCGGTCATGTGGTTGGGTTTACAACCAATGAGAAGGCAGGACAGGAACTCTATATAAAGACTTTAACACAGGGGTAGCTCTGGTTCGGAGAGGTAAGACCACTGCAGGAGGAAGGATAAGGTTTTAGCTCTTAGCTCTGACCTCTTGGCTTTCTTCTTTGCATTGGTTCTGTGTTTCTTATTTAATAAGAAGGTTGGTTACATCTACACTCTAGTCTACCATTTCCATAATTTTAAAGCTTTAAGCAGACTTTGTAAATATTTATGCAGATGTGTACACACACACACACACACACACACACACACACACACACACACACGCACAGTAAGCACTCGACTTTAAAAGGGAGAGTTGAAAGTTTTTATTTGGAACTTTATTGCTTTGAGCAATTCATGCCCTCATTCTATAAATCACACTGGTACTGTTACAAACAGTGATTCAAGTTCCATGTTGCCTCAACTTAAGCCTATTTAACCAAATATGTGCTTAAAAGCTGCATAGAAATTCATCTTTTCTACTAAATCTTTCAGATCAAAGGAAATACACCTGATACGGGTGTCTTCCCAAAAGACAATCCAGCCCCACAAGTACAACATTTGAGAAGCAAATTATCTTCTTCTTATGCACGCTCCCTCCCCCCCATTTTTGTTTTGTATTTTGTTTTTTGGGACAGGGTTTCTGTGTAGCCTTGGCTGTCCTGGAATTTGCTCTGCAGACCAGGCTGTCCTTGAACTCAGATCTGCCTGCCTCTGTCTCCCAAGTAATGGGGTTTAAAGACATGAGCCACCAGTGCCTTTTTAAAGAAGTATTTGTTTGGTTTTCTAGATGGAAGTCTGACTCTGTAACCCAAGATAGCCTCAAACTCACAGCAATCCTCCTGCCTCAATCTCTTGGTATACAAGTGTGAACATCCACGCCTGGTGAATTTTACTTTAAAAATAAGCAAATAGCAAAGGCAACTTTGGTAAATCATTATTATTTACTGAAATAAATATTAAAGGCCTTGTCAAGAAACACTAAATGAAGACTATAGGATATGTAAAGGGAAATGAAAACACAGAGCATCTTAGCAACATGCAGTTAATTATCAGTTACTCTCAGAATGCTGCTAATAACCAACAGCTTCTTTCAAAGCCTTACTCTACCTCTCTGACATTGAAAGATCTTGCAGTATGTGATAGGTATTAATCTCTCCTATCCTTCTTCCTACCTTCTGAAAATGTCTTATCAGTGTTCACTGGGGACTCTTGATACCTGAAACCCTCCTCATTTGCTCCCAGGTACTTTTGCTCAATCTAGAGCAGCTCCTAAATTCTCAGGTAATACAAGTTTAATTTGTTTGAAACCAAAGTCCCTTCTCCCCTTTCAACATGTCCCTCAAACTTGAACGTTCCTCCACTGTTTCCTACTCAGTTAATAACCACCACAGAAATACCACCTCCCCTCACATCCTTTTCACCCTTTGGTCCCTAAGTCCTATCTGAACCCTCTAAAGCACTCCCTCTTAGCATTTCTGATGCCAATGCCCCATTCACCTCACATAACAGCATCTTCACTGTCTCCGTGCCCCAGTCTCACCCTATTCTAAACCCTAACTACCTATTGTCTATGATTTCCAAACTACAAAATCAACAAACAAGAGTACATAAAAATACGAGGATTCATTCATACAACTGTACAGAACCACTATATTCTTAAAAGGTTCAAAATCATTATCTACAGAATAAAGTTTAAATTTCAGAGTTTTTGAAAGCTGAAATGCTTTGTATCACAGCTTGACTCCAATGTATATTCCTAGCTGTGCTTTCTTATCATTCTTCTCCTAACAACATCCCATTAACATCAACACCAACACAGAACTAACATCCCAGACACAGCACTCATCCCTCCTCCTCTTCACCTGTCAGGTACTATGACCTGCTACTGCGCTTCCTTTTCCTACCTTGTTCAGAGTCTTTGTTAACTGTTTTTTTTTTTTTTTTATATATATATATTGGAGAGGGGGCACTGTGCACACACATGCATGCACACGTGTGTTTTGGCATGTGCATGCTGTGGTTTGCATTAAACAAAACTAGTTCTTTTCTCTTCTGTGATTTCTAAGTATATTGTTCACATCTCCAGAACAAACTCTATTATACTATAGGTTGACCATCCCTAATCCAAAAAAGCTGAAACCTAAAAGGCTCTGAAATCTAAGACATTCTGAACATCAATGCAACATTTAAAAAAAAATTAGATTTGGGATTTTTTTCTACTATGGATGAGCAATTGGAAAAAAATCTACAAAAGTATGTCAAAACTCCAAAGTCTCAAACACTTCTAGTCCTAGTATTTCCAGTAAAGCATACTTAAGCTGAATATTAGAGAACAAGGCTGCCTCTCAGATAAAATGGAAGCAACGTGTCTTCTATTATCTTCGGAACTCCACCTTTTGTATGCTCCATGTAAGTATCTGGCAAATGTTTAATTTAACTGAGGATGCAGCCTAAGAGGGGATCTATAAATAAGAGGCTTCTAGGAAGAAGAAAGAGTGCATGAAAGTTAAGAAGCAGATATAAGAAAACAACTCTGTGGCCATTGAGATGGTGTTGATCATAATCCCCAGGACCTACACGGCAGAAGGAGACAGCATTTGCTTTTGTGGTTTGAATGAAAATGGCTTTCTTTCACAGGCTCACACAGTGGCCGTGTAGGAGTTGCCTATTGGAGGAACTGTGTCACTGGGAGTAGGCTTTGAGGTTTCAAATGCTCACACCAGGTCCAGTGTCACTCTCTTCACCTCCATATTCAGCACCATGTCTGCCTGAATCTGCCATGTTTCCCGCCATGCTGATAATGGACTAAACCTCTGAACTGGAAGCCAGCCCCAACTAAATGTTTTCCAATGGTTATGGCATCTCTTCATAGCAACATATGAGCTTAGTCACTGACTAAGACAGATGCCTACAAGTTGTCCTCTGACCTAGACATGCAAACCACTGGTGCATGCATGCATGTGCATGGCTGGCTTTCTCTCTCTCATAAAAACAAACAGAAGAAAATAAAAGAAAACGCACTACCATGAAAATGTCTCTTTGTTGACTTTCAATAAGCTCTGAGGCAGAAAAGAATTTGAAAGAACAAGTATTCAGCAGCGGAAGTGACAAAAGCTAGCATATTTTATGGTTCAACTCTGAAATCCTTCCCCACAGCTCACGTATTTTAAACACCTGGCCCTCAGCTAGTGCTGTCTGGGGTACCTAACTGACAAAGACAAGTATCTAGAGCAGGCATTTGAGCCCTAGTTCTTGTCCCATGCTCCCTGCTCCCTGGTCAACTGCCAGGATGAACCTGCCACTTTATGCTCCCAGTGACCAAGCCTGAGCCACCCCACTGCTGTGCCTGTCTCTTCGTGACAAATCCCGTAAAACTTTAAGCCACAGTCTCTCCTTCCTCCTTCAAGTCTCTTCTGTCAGGAACTTGTCATGGTGATGTGTAGTTGAAAAGTTTTTCTCCAGTCCCACCCGGCTTGCAGTCCCACAGCCGCTTATAAAACAATTACTCAGAGGCTTTTATTAATTACCAATTGCATGGCATATGGCAGGCTTCTTGCTAGCTAGCTCTTATATCTTCACTTAATCCATTTCTATTAGTCTATGTTTTGCCACGTGTTCTGTGGCTTACCAGTCTGCTGGCATGTTGTTCCCTGGGCGGCAGGCTGGCAACTCTCTGCCTGTGCCTCTCCTTTTTTCGTCTCTCTGCTTGAATTCCCTGTCTTTTAGATATTGTAATTGTAATTCCTGCTTGATAACTGTTCTATTACATGTAACATTACTATGTTAAAATTAGAACCTTCCTTTTTGATTAGAAAGAAAAGGGGAAGTGCTATGGGATGTCTTTCTGTATGCTGTGAATATGTGTTACTCTGATTGGTTGATAAATAAAGCTGTTTGCCTATGGCAAGGCAGCTTAGAGGCAGGCAGGAAATCCAGGAAAGAGTCAGGAAGAAGAAAGGCAGAGGTGGAGGAGACGCCATCCCACTGTCTGGGGAGCAGCATGTAATAGCATACAGGTAACGCCACAGAACACGCAGTGACATATAGATTAATAGAAATGGGCTAAGTTTAGTTATAAGAGCTAGCTAGTAAGAAGCCTGAGCCATAGGCTATATAATTTACAACTAATATTAAGCCTCTGAATGATTATTTTATAAGCGGCTGCAGGAAAAGGGTGAGAGAGATTTGTCTGGACTGCTCAGAGCCAGGCTGGACACAGGAAAACTTCTGATATAGTGATGAGATAGAATACAAGTCTATAGACATCTACAATACAAACGTGATAGATCAGGGCTGATGGGGCATGCTGTAATGCCATCTACTAAGGAGACTGGGATAGGATGATCCTTAGTTCAAGATCCACCAGTTCAAGACCAGTCTGGGAAATATAGTGACATAATCTTCACGGGGGATAAAGGAGGGCAGGGAGCTGAAGAAATGGTTCAGCATTCAAGAGCAATGATTTATTTTTCAGAGGACTTGGGTTTGATTCTAAGCACCCACATTTTACAAATATTTTATCTTGATAATCCCAGCACTCAGGAGGCAGAGGCAGGTGGAGCTCTGCGAATTCAAGGACAGCCTGGTCTACAAAGTGAGTTCCAGGACAGCCAGAGCTACACAGAGAAACACCCTGTCTCAAAAAAAAAAAAAAAAAAAAAAAAGTTATGAATTGTACCTACCTATACGAAGATCTCTTTGTAAGACATTCTTATCATAAACATAAAACGACAAATACTGGAAAGTTCTTGGAATTTCAAAGTAAAATTCTTCACTGAAATATGGTCTAGAGAGAAAAGAGAAAGCTCATTATGCCAAATAATATATTAATTTATTATTACTATTAAATAATTCATTACTACCACTATTAAAATGGTCCTGTTAAATAAAATCACATTCAAATGTCACTTTCAATAAACACCAATGAAATTATAAACTAAAATTCTTTAGAAAAGAACTTCAAAAACCCCAAAATTATTCTCAATATTGTTTTAGTATTGAGATCCTAAACAAATTAAGCTGAACTAAAAAGACCTCAGGTGTTAAAAGAATTCTAAACACACAGTTTTTCAGAAAGTCTTGTGGACAGAAGATCTAGTAACTGCCTAGGTCATGCTCACCTAAAGTAGACCTAAATGAGAGTCAAGAACAAAGCCATTCACATTATTATCTTAGAAATATATAACTACATAAAGTTGTATTGATCACAATAATACTTAACACCTAAAATGGATAATGCTATATAAAATATTTTCAAATGTATTATAAATATTGAATATTAAATATTTTCATTATCTTTCCCAAATTATTTATAAACTATATATTATCAAATCTGATCTATGGAGGTTGGTGGCCTTTGATAAATTTACAAACCTGTGTAGCTTCCACACCAATCAAAATATAGAACACTGTTACCACCTTAGAAAGTTCCCTTATGCTCCCAATAGTACCTTACACAAACAACTAGTTTTACGGGGTTGAGGGAGTCCAGGGCCTAGACTTGGGGCCTTGTATATGCTAGGCAAGTACTCTACCACTGAGCTATATTCTTAGTCCAGTGATAAGAATTCTTCCTATGTGTGTGTATGTGTGCACATATGTGTGCAGGTGTGAGTCTATCAATGTTGAGTGTCTTCTTCAATCTGTCTCCACCTTATTTTTTGAGACAGGGTCTTTCCCCGAGTCTGGATTTTCTTGTTCCCACAGGCCCGGCTCATTTTTCTGCCATGGCAAACAGCTTTTTACACAGGTGTTGAGGATCCCAACTCAGGTCTTCATGCTTACATGACAAACACTTTACTGACGGAGCTATCTCCCCAGACTCAGTGATTTGTGTGTGCATATGTGTGAATGTGTGCATCAGTATAGAGTTCAGAAGTTGAAATTGAACATCTTCCTCCATCTGTCTCTACCTTATTTTTGACACAGGGTTTCTAGCTGAACCTGCAGCTCACTGATTTGGCTATTCTGACTGGCCAGCAAGTCCCAGGGATCCTCTTGTCTCCACATCCTCAGTCTTGGGATTACACCACTAGTGTTTGGCTTTTTACATGGGTTGCTAAGTATCTAAAATGAAGTTCTCAATGCTTTCAAGGAAGCACTTTATCAACTGACTCATCACTGTTGGAGAAGGGCCTGGGAGGCCCCACTGGCAGTTAATGACTACTAGAAAAGGAAATCATTTTCTTCAGTGGTGCAGCTGTTGGTTAGTTGCTCGTGCTCCAGGAAATCATGTCCTACTCATGCTTATGCAAGCAGACCTAATTGAACTCAGTGGGTCACATACATAAACGAAAATAGGAGAACTTATTGGAAGGTGTTCAGAGGGTGTGCAAGGGGTATGATTTAAAAACAATACATTCACGTATAGAATTGTTGCAAGATATTTGAGCAAACTGTAAAGATGTGTTGCTGTTTTACCTTGCCTGTCTAAGGCACCTGATTGGTTTAATAAAAAGCTGAATGGCCAATAACTAGGCAGGAGAGGTTAGGCAGAACTTTCTCAGGCAGAGAGAAGAATGAATCCAGGTGCATCAGAGTCACCAGCAAGACATGAAGGGAGTCAGACACGGAGGAATTCAGACATACAGAATGGAGAAGGGGTAAAAAGCCACATGGCAAAATGCAGATTAATAGAAAAAGGTTAACTTAAGTTATAAGAGCTAGTTGGGAACAAGCCTAAGCTAAAAGCCAAGCTTTCACAATTAATAATAAATCTCTGTGTCGTTATTTGGGGGCTGGTGGTCCCAAAAGAAATTCTAAAAACACAGAATTTTCAAAGACTGAATTAAAATTAAAACCTATTGGGGTTGGGGATTTAGCTCAGTGGTAGAGTGCTTGCCTAGCAAGCACAAGGCCCTGGGTTTGGTCCTCAGCTCTGAAAAAAAAAAAAAAAAAAAAAAAAAAAGGAAAAAAATTATCTCCCAGAAACTTCCCTTGTACCCTCTGCAATTACCCCACCACACTGTAAGTCAACTGGTAAAAGCGCTATCATTACATTACTGATTAAATCCTAATATTGACAAAATGGTTTTAGACTGTTTTCTTGATGATTAACGGTGCTTGATCTCTTTTCATGTGTCTTCAAGACATTTGTATATCATCTTTTATGAAATATCTGAGTCTTCTCATATTTTAAATTTCTTAATTATTAAGGGTTTTGCTTTGATTTAGAGATGTTTAAAAGCAGAATATATTACATAATTCTTTTGGGAATTCTATACCATTTTCTGTTTCATAATTCAAAGTTATAAAAATTAAAGATCAAGAACAAAAAGAAAAAAACTTGGAGGGAGAAGAAGTTAGATCTATTGTGTAGTTATTTTCAGCTGAATGATTGATCACAACTTATATAAATATTGAGAACATTATAATAAAATCAAGATGTGGAAAGGTTTTTAATACAGATTGTTTTGCCCCATTCTAAAAGGAAAAATTAGAGTCTGACACTCAGAATCTAAGAATTACCTACTCTAACTAGCTATACTCTTAAGTGACTACGGTAATAACACTGCTAGCTTTCAATTATCTTTCAAATTATTTTCTTATTTTTAAAGGTGGATAAAGAAATAAAGAAAACTGATTTCATCATTTTCTGCTACACAAAAATTCAGAAAGGTTAAAGGCTAAAAAAATATAAGCTAATTCTGGTTATTTTCATATATATGGCTACATATTACAAACTACAAGTACCCAACTTACTTAGTTTTATCACTGAATATCTTGTGATATAAAATTGATGTAACAGACTGAAATTTAAATAATTTCAGGTCTCAAATCCCTGCTGTGCCTTTAACTTCGTTCATTACGTGACAAATTATTCAGACTTTTGGTGACATTATATCATTTATAAATGTAAGTAAAAAAGACATGTATGAATTTGTATGCACAAATGTGAAAAACATCAATATAGGTATATGACTTATGACAAAAATCTTTGTATTTTTGTGTATTACTCCCAAGCTTTATGGGCTACTATTTATTCAACGGTGAAGTCAGAGAACAACCAGTGGGGGTTGTTTCTCTCCTTTCACCATGTGGGCTCTGGGCACTTGCTATAGAATAATATTTGCACACTATAAATATGTATTGCTCTGTTAATAAAAAGCTAGGCAGGATTTTGGGGGCAGAGAGAAAGCTGGGAAGAAGAAAGGCAGAGTGAGAGGAGTCACCAGCCAGAAGGAAAGGAAGCAAGAAATACAGGAGAGGTAAAAGTCACAAGCCTTGGAGTAGCACATAGATTAATAGAAATGGGTTAATTTAAGTTCTAAGAGCTAGTTAGTAAAAAGCCTGAGCTATCAGCCAAGCATTCATAATTAATGATAAGAGATTTGGGAGCAAGGCTGGGACACATAAAAACTCCAACTACAGGTACTAAACTCAAGCTGTCAAGCTCAACAGCTGACATCTTTACAAACTACTGACTAACTCTCTACATTGACCTACTTTAGTTTTATATAATACTTTCCTTATGAAGAGTTCAAACTTATAAGAACCAAAAGACATAAAAGGGCATGCAGAGGGGTATGCCTACAATACAGGCATTTCAGAGGCTGAAGTAGGAGGAGTAAGAGTTCAAGGCCAACCTGGGCTACATAGCAAGACACTGTGTCGAGGAAGAGGAGAGGAAGAAAGGGGAAGGGAAGGTGTAAGAAAGAGGAGAAAGAGAAAGGAAGAAAAGGAAAGGAGACACAGGCAAACTTCAGAGGGGAAGACAGGCAAGAATAAGGAGAAGGGGTAAACACAGTACCAAAACATATTCCAGAAATCCAATGGAATGAAATACAAGTTACAACAACTGTTTCATTCACCAGGCTTGTTCCAACAACTCCCAGAATCCTTGATTGCTTTGTCCCTGAAGACTATCTTTTCAGCAGTTTGGTGGTGGTGGGTTTTTTGTTTTGTTTTGTTTGTTTTTGAGACAGGCTCTCACTACGTAGCCCTGATTGGCCTGGGACTTCCTATGTAGACCAGGCTGGCCTCAAATTCAACCAAGCTGGGATTGAAAGCATGTGTCATGACACCTGGCTTTAGCACAATCCTAAATCAGAATTACAACCACAAACACTGCAACAAGGCAGAGGAGGCAAATTAAGGATTTGCTGTGATACTTTCAAAGTGTAATTAACTTCCAAAGATGAAAACAACCTACCAAGGGCTTATCCCCTGATAATATACTAGTAAGTTAACTTCAAGTGTGAGTGTGAGTGTGTGTGTGTGTTCTTGTGTATATGTAGGTGCAGGGGTAAAGGGTGTGTGTAGGCTAGAGGTTGACATCAGGTTTCTTTTTCAATCATTTTCCAACTTATTTTTTGAGACAAAGGCTCTTGTTGAACAATTTGGCTATAAAACTGGCAATCCAGTTCCTTGGATCCTCCCATCTCCATGTCCTTAGCACTAGGACTACAAGTGGGAACTACTGCACCTGACTTTCTCACATGGGTGCTGGGGATGGAACAGGAATCCTCATATTCATGCATCAAGTACTTTACCAACTAAGTCATCTCTCTAGCTCCAACTTGTATGAACTTTAAGAATTAATTTATTATTTGGAGAAATAAAATGATGCACTTTGAGGAAAGCTCAAATAAATAGGCAAAACTTAGCCCAAAAGACAGACTAAAGTCTTACAATAGTTTTCAAACATTTAATAGTGTCATATAAAAGATGGACTAAACTCGTTCCTCAGAAAATCTAAGGGATCTCCTAGGACAACTAAGAAAAAATACTTCCTAAGGCAATGAAAAGCCACATGAAAGCAAGCACTGCATTGATGTCATCCTCACAGGCAGATGAGTAAACAGAACCCAGAACTGAGCAAGAGCTTGGTACATGGTTGGATGTCATTTTAATAATCATTAAACAATTAAACATAAGCACTTTCTGAGTCAGAACAGTTCAAAGACCAAGCAGACTGCTTAGGAAGCATGAACTCCTTGGTGACTAGAATATTATTAAGCAGATGCCACATGACCCCTAGCCAAAGCTACTGTTAAGGAGCCGATGTTGTTAGCCTAACTTACTGAACATTCAAAGCCCTTCAAATGCTTACATCCTGTAATTCTAAAAATAAATTCATAACAGAAAAGAAAATCTTTAAATAAAAATAGTAGTTTAAGTTCAAGAACATCAACTTCATAAAAATCTGGAAAATATATAAAACTATGAATACATAGCAAATGAATGGTAATTTGTTATTTTCTACCAACCTTAAAGACTTTTCAACAACCTGGGTGCGATAAACTTCTTCTTGGTCCAAATTTATAGTGCAGAAACAATCTCGCATTTTGTTGGGTCCAAGATATGGCAATAAATTTTTTGCTTCATCTGTTGGCACAAAAGTTTAAATTGATATTAAATATCCTTCCTTATACCACCTAAGGCTTATATATGTATATGAATTCAGTCTGAAAGAAGGCATAATATGGAGTAGAGAAAAAAGGAACTAGTGATCAGAGAGGTCAAGGTGGTCTAAAGGAGACTAGTAAGACTGGAAGATGTGGCTAAAAAGTGATGAACTTTTCCTGAGAACTCTGTAGCAAAATGTATTTTTTAATTAAAAGAAAAAGCCTAAATGCTTGAAAACAAAAAAGACTGAAGGGAGAAGCTATGTTTGGACACATGAGGTCACAATACAACACTGCATCCTTCCCCTATGAAAAAGTACTCACTCTCCATTCTGTCCAACAAGTACCATCTCAAGAATTTTCCTGCAATTAATCCCTTTCCTGAATCAGCATTAACTTTCCTTTCTACCAGATTTCTCTCATCAGCACACAAAAAAACATTTCCCCATTAAAACAAACAAAAGAAGCAAATAATCATCCTTAATCCCACCTCTTCTCCTTTCCAAACCTCCACTTCTAGATTCTTTTCTCACTTTCCATCCACTCTTTGGCCCTCTCTAATCATCTCCTGATCCCAGTGTGACACTACTTTAATCAAGGTCACCAATGTCAATAAATGCTGGCTTACTAAATCTTATGTTCAATCTTGCTCTTCCTGTAGCCACCCTTGCAGCGTCATTAACAGTGTGCACATTTAACAAGCTCCCTGCTCTTGGATTCTACAACATCCTATCTCTGGCTTTCCTCCTATATCTTCCACTCTGCTCACCCTCCTCTTACTACAATGCCGTAACTGCCTCGGGGCTCAGTTCTGGACTACCCTTCTTTTTTTCTATAAACTCCTGCAGCATGGAGTGTTAATGCTAGTGGCTTCCAGTTCTGTGTCTGCAGGCGTGACTTCCCTCCTCCATGCTAAATGTAAATGTTCTCTGGATATACAGTAGGTATCTCAAATTTAAAAGTCCTAGGAAAAAAATCTTATTTCCTCTTCTAGAAGCTCTTCCCTTGGTCTACCATTATTTCTCTCTCCCTTATCATCTTTCTGCCACTTTCTTATACATCCAGTTCATTAGCAAATCCAGAAAATCTTTAAAAAGGTAAAATCTAAAATTTAATGGCTTCTTTCCTGCACCAGTATCACCCAAATCCAAGCACTGTAACTTTTTTGTTCAGACAAGCAAGGCAATATCTTTTTTTTTTTTGGTTTTTCAAGACAGGGTTTCTCTGTGTAGCTTTGCGCCTTTCCTGGAACTCACTTGGTAGTCCAGGCTGGCCTCGAACTCACAGAGATCCACCTGGCTCTGCCTCCCGAGTGCTGGGATTAAAGGCGTGCGCCACCACCACCCGGCGCAAGGCAATATCTTAACTGGTGTCTTTGCTTCTATTACTCTCCTACAATCTATTCTTCACCAAAAGATGTGATCTTTTCTTTTCTTTTCAATGCTGGGGATCAGACCCAAGCCTTCTGCATGAATGCATGGTAGAAGTACTCTGCCACAGAGCCATAATTCAGACCAGGAGTGATCTTTTCACCAGACTCAAGTCAGTCACTCCTCTGCTCAAAATCGTACCCTTTGTCTGAGAATAAAAGCTCATCTCTAAACCACAGAGCCCCAAGTATCCCTTCTGATTCTTTCTTCGTTTGTTCTCCCCAGTGTTCACTTTTCCTCCATTCCTCAGCCATGTCAAGTTTATTATGAGTTCTTCCTGGATCTCTCTACTCTTCACATGGCGGATACATTCTTATCATTCACGTCTCAGCTCAAATGACACTTGTCAGAAACCCTTTCTCTGATTAGTCTGTCTAAATCACATGATCCTGCTACCATACTCTTTCTGTTTGGTCTGTGAGAGCATTTGTAACTGGCTGAACTTCTGTTAGGAGTTTTTGCAGCTCCTATATGAGGTCTCAGAACTTGCTAATGCTCAATCGAGATCTAAAACAGTAAACATCTGGTGGCCTATTTGTTGAAGGAATAAGAAACCCAGTAAGTCAAGCTTTGAAGTTCTTGTGAGCTACTCATGTACCAAATGGACAAATACAAGTCTATGCACTGAAATACACACCATGTACAAATAAAAGAAAGTAAGGAAGGGGCCAGCAAGAAAGTTCAGTGGGTGAAAACATTTGTGTAAAATCCTAAATAGCTGGATGGAGGGGTGCACATGAAATGTTCCCAGCTTTTCTTTCTGTTTGTTTGTTTTTGTTTTGTTTTTCGAGATAGGGTTTCTCTGTGTAGTTTTTGGTGCCTGTCCTGGATCTCACTCTGTAGACCAGGCTGGCCTCGAACTCACAGAGATCTGCCTGGCTCTGCCTCCCGAGTGCTGGGATTAAAGGCATGCGCCAGTACTGTCAGGCTGTTCCCAGCATTTCTACAGTAAGATGGGAGGAGCACACAGGAGAACCACCCAGCAGCTCTTGAGCCAGACAAGAGAGACTCTGCTTCAAAAGCAAAGTGAACTGACTCCTAAAAGTTGTCCTCTGACCTCTACATATATGCCATAGTATGTACATATATCCCATCCCTACCCCAACACATGTAATAAACAGACAAATAAGCTTTTAAAAGAAAACAGGGTAGCTTCCTAAAGGAAAGAACATTAATTACTCTAAGAATCATGAGATCAATGTCTCTCTTTCTCTCCTACTAAGCATTACATAACTTCAGAAAATCACTGTAGAACAGTTTTTCTAATGAAGGTTTGGGTTCTTTCTGCTTAACTAACAGCTATTAAAGTGAATATGTTATAAAGTCTACCAGAAACTTGAGAAGCATTTATAAAAAAATTCAGTAAACAAATAATTTTTAAAACTTAAAATCAAAGAGCCAGGTGTGGTAGTGTGTGTCTTTTGAAGCTGTACTTCCTCAGTAAGCAGAGGCAGGAGAATCTGAGTTTGAACCCAGCCTGGTCTACATAGCAAGTTCCATCCCAACCAAGGCACTACATCATGAGACCCTGTCTAAAAAGAAAAGGAAAGGAAAGAAGGAAAAAAGAGTCTATGGAAAGGCAATAATAAAATATTCATTATTATTAAATTTATTATTGGAGACTAGAAAAAAAGTGAAATTACCACTGAGTCATTATAAACAAAGTTATGTTCATCCCAAGTAAATCAGAATCAGGGAATCTCACTGTGTAAATGATTCCCAAACTAACTAAAACGAGATGGTATTTATAAGTGAAACAGTTCCCTATAGGAAAAACAAATAAGAAACCAGAATCCTCTCTTCATCTAGAGCTAGCCCTTCCACCAGGATTCTCTCTCCCACTCAGGACCTTGTTTAGCAATTCTATTTTCATTTCTCAGACTCTCCTCCTTTGCATAACACAATGGATTTGTTTTAAAACCAAAGTTCATAGAGACCATCACACAAGGCCTGAAGTATAAAAAAACTAGAATTAGATTACAATAAATATGCTCCAAATCTAATGTGAGAGTTTAGAACATTAAATCACTGCCCCTGGGCGTGAACCTGTTTTAGTCATGTTAAGTACTGTTTAGAAAATAATGGTGCATAATGTGTACATAATCTACCAATACCACCCCCAAGAGGGAAGCAAGAGTTATTCTGTCGGCAGAATCTAATGAAATTGACATGGCCAGAAACTTACTTAGAATAATTAAAGGTCTAGATCTTATATAATATAAAGAAATGCACCCCAATATCACTTTCTATTAAAGCAATTCTCCTAACTTGCTTTTTTTAAAAAAATATCTACCACTGACTGAAGTTCAAATAAGCCAAGCTAAAAATTAATTCATCCAATCAATGCCCAGTTCTCCAAAACAATCACACTAACATGTTTAATCAGTCATCAGGAATTTAAACTGTAATTCCCAACTACAACAGTGATTACTGTCTGTTTATAAAGTGCAGTAGCCAATGGTTGGGACATTAAAGCACTGCTGCACCTGTCACATCTCTAAGTAGAAGGGAAAGGTGTTAACAGCACACACCACATCATCAAGCTACAAAAAATGCAAAAGTGAAGAACTTTTGAAGCTGTACTTCCTCACAGATGGTCCTACTACCTCCACGCAATTTTAGGATATAAATCACATGCACTGGACCACAATAAGCTATCTTCTAGCTCTAATCTTTCTCTTCTACTTGTACTTTCTACAGTTAGCTTCAGAACCTCCTTTGTATAGACCTTCAAGAACACTAATAATATTAAGCACCACAAAATCCAATTATTGCCTTTCAATGTCCACTTTATCTGTCCACTTTGTAGTATCTGGTAACACTGCCCTGCCTGAGTTGAGGAGGCTCATTTTCAGTTGTCTTTTTTAATCCCTCATTCAGGCCTTTATCCACAGAACATACTTAAATGTGAAGAAATTTGGGACAGACTATTAAACTCATCAGGGTAAAAGACCAATTATAGGTATTTTAAAAATATATCATTATAAAATAAAAGACTTTTCCAGGCATGGTGGCACCCACCTTTAATCCCAGCACTCAGGAAGCTGAGGCAGGTGGATGGATCTCTGAGTTCAAGGCTAGTCTGATCTACACAGTGAGTCCTAGGCCAACCAAAGCTACAAAGTGACACCTTCTTTTGGAAGGGAGGGAGAACTTTGCAGGGCATCTATTCTGTAGTACAGGCTATGGGAGGTCTGGGTTGGATCTAGAATCAGCAACAGTGATGATGAAGGTGACTACCTGCCAATGGCTATTTCTTAATACTAGAACATTCCTAAGGTAGCAAGGTTCTAAGCAGTAATAATTACAAGTTAAAGCTTTTTACCAACTCTTCAGGGCTCTTTTGATCTTAAAAGAGTAACTTTTTGGTGGCCTATCTGAGATGTGATTTTGTCTGTTTTTGTGGTACTGGGGATTGAACTCAGGGCCTCACACTCGAAGTCAGTCATGAGAATTCCACTCAGTCTGTTTTGGGAGCCTGGAGGGAGGAGACAGCATGTGCACATTAAGTATGTAGTCAGTATGGAATCCAGAGAACAATTTCAGGTGC